AGGCAGTTATTGTGCCTTTCTGTAGAGTATTTATGGTCTAGAGGAGAAAACGTCAATGAGCGTTTTCAGGCTTCATCCCATCTCTTAAAGCATTTATATGTTGACTCTTCCTGAGAGCTGGAAATTCTTTCTAGGCTTCTGATTAACCACCCACTCTTTTTTTCTGTGTATTTCTCAGGCAGCTCCTTCTTATTCTTCTTCGTAGTTCCCTCCTCTACTGTCCAGCCCCCTAAATATTAGTGTTCTTGAGGGCTCTGTGTCAGGCTCTTTTTTTTCTCATTTTACCTTCTCCCAGTTGTCACTTATTTACAAGGTGATTTCCCGATGTATTCGTCCATTTTTACACTGCTATAAAGAACTACCTGAGACTGGGTAATTGATAAAGAAAAGAGGTTTAATTGATTCACGGTTCATCTTTATAGAAATAATTTAGCTTCCTGGCCAGGTACAGTGGCTCACATCTGTAATCCCAGCATTTTGGGAGGCCAAGGAGGGTGAATCACTTGAGTTCAGGAGTTCGAGACCAGCCTAGGCAACATGGCAAAACATCATCTTTACAAAAAATACAAAAATTAGCTGGGTGTGGTGGTGCACATCTTTAGTCCCAGCTGCTTGGGAGGCTTGAGGCACAGGAATCGCTTAAACCTGGGAGGCAGAGATGAGCCAAGATCGCACCATTACACTCCAGTCTGGGTGAGAGAGTGAGACTCTGTCTCCAAAAAAAAAAAAAAAAAAAAAAGTCTCTAATTGTGTAAGTTTCTAACCCCACAAAAGCTGATCCATTCCATGACCAGTCCAAGAGGAAAGACCTAAAGATAATGGCATGGGTAGTTTGCCAACCATTCAGATGGATTAAAGTGAAGCTCAGAGTTGACAGATTCCACCAACATGGTCAGAGTTTACAGCTAGTCTTTAAATTCCCCACTCCTAATGGAGAACAGATAATGTAGGGATACCAGGCTTTTAGTAAATGGAGCATGGAAGACATAGGCCAGACAATTAGAAAATAGGATCTAGGAGAAAATGTCAAGAGAACTTAGAAAATAAAAGACACTGTGAGCATACATCAAGAATAAGATGCCATAACAATTATATAGGACAAAAGAATTCTTAGAAATTAACAGCATGGGAGCAGAAATGAAAAACTCAAGATTGGAAAATAAAGTTGAGAAAATTTCCCAGAAGCAAATCAAAAGACAAAGACTATGTAAGACTATGTAAAGACAAAGACTATGTAAAATAGGAAAGAAAAAAATTAAAATTAGATGATTAGTCCAAGATATCTAATATCTGAATAACAGGAATTTCTGAAAGGGAGAAAGAGGAGGTCGTCATCATCGTAACATTTCCCAGATCTAAAAAATGAATTTCCAAGACTGAAAGTATTTGCTGAGTGACCATATTACTGGAATAAAATAGATCGATGTAAAGTCACGTCAGAGTGAAATTTCAAGACAGCGGGGCAAAAGAAGATTCTCCAAGAAAGAGGGAAGAAAAGCCATAAAGCAAAACTCATAGTCAAATAGCCTTAGACTTCTCAACAACTCTGGACTCTAGAACAAGATAAATATTTTCTTTCAAAATTTATAATTCTACACACAGCCAAACTGTCAAGTAAGTATAAGTATATAATAAACACATTTTCAGATAAGTCTCAAAAAATTTACTTCCTACTTATCTTTTTCTCAGCTACCTGATGCTGTGCTCCATCAAAATGAAATGAGATTAATCCATTAAAGAGGAAAATGTGGGATGCAGAAAACAAGAGATCCAACATAGGTGAGATGTGAATGAGGACTCCAGGGTATAACAGAAATTTCAGTGTGAAAACTATACATTAGATATAGAGGTCAACCATTCCAGATCGGAGCACTCTGAGGGCTATCATCATTTCTGCCTTCTTTAATTCTGCTGGGTTTTTATCTTAACGAAGCTACTTGAGGATGTACTCCACCAAAACAAAGGAGAAAACAAAGAGGAAGAGATGAGAACCAGAAAACCAGAAATCAAACTTAGGACAAAAGCTGAGCAAATGTTGTAAGATGAAAGCAAAAGGAAGTCTCAGGATGTGCAGAAGGCCTAGAAAGCAACCAGTGCTAACAGAAGAGAAGGAAGATATCAGGGAGGTAAGTGAGCAAGACAACAATTAGAACCAGCAGGCTACCTAATCGGGCAGGTATGGCAGGAAAACTACAATGAAAGGCATTGGGAGAGTGTGGCAAAACTGAGCAAAAGACAAGCACAAAGAAAATTAAGCACTTTAGTAAACAAGGCAATTATTATAAGTTCAAGAAAAAAATTTTGGAAAAGCAGGGTAATCAGAGTGTGCCACAGTGTGTAACTGTGAACAGTAATTACATGGGCATAATCAAATAAACTCTGAATATTGTGTACTTCATAAAACATTGAGATATGTATATTTTGGAAGGGTCGGGAGGAAGGGGAACAGATGACAGTCCAAGAGTGATTGGTCTTCATCTACTGCAATGGAAGACAATAGTTAATGTCAAAAGTTGATTTATAGTCATTATGGAAAAACAGTATGGCAGTTTCTCAAAAAAACTAAAAATAGAACTACCGTATGACCCAGCAACCCCACTACTGAGTATTTATCCAAAGGGAAGGAAATTAGCATATTGAAGAGATACCCGCACCCTCATGTTCTCTGCAGCTCTATTCACAATAGTCAAGACACGGAACCAACTGAAATGCACGTCAACAGATGAATGGATAAGGAAAATGTGGTATATATACACCATTGAATACTGTTCATCCATAAAAAAGAATGAAATCTTGTCAACTGAAGCAATACAACCGAGGCTGGAGGACATTATGTTAAGTGAAATAAATCAGGTACAGAAAGATAAATACCACATGCTGCCACTCAGATGTGGGAGCTAAAAATTAAGCTCATAGAAGTAGACAGCAGAATAAAGACTATTAGAGACTGAGAAGAGGAGAGAGAGGAGGTTGGGGAGAGGCTGGTTAACAGATACAAAAGTACTATACAGCTATATCAGAGGAATAAATTCCAGTGTTTTGCAGCACTGGAGGCGAATATGGTTACCACAAATTTAGTGCGTATTTTCAATAATCTAGAAGAGAGGATTTTGAATGGGCACAACACAAAGAAATGATAAATATTCAAGGTGCTAGCTATGCTAACTTTCGGGATCTGATCATTGCTCATTATACCCATGTATCAAAATATCACTCTGTATCCTGTGAATGTATATAATAATGTCAATAAAAATAAAATTTTAAACGTTAATTAATAAAAGTATAGCAATGCTGGGCTCATGGCTCACATCTGTAATCCTAGCACTTGGTGAAGCCAAGGCCAGGGAACTGAACTAGCCACTTTTTCATGGAGCACCATTTTGTTTTAAAGAATGACTGACAGGCAGATATTAATATTCAGACATGAGTATTTGGCAGTGATTTTCTTGAAAATGAATGAAATGAGCCTGTCTTGACTTTCAGGAAAGCAACTGGAGTATTTGTGCCAGTGTCAAATTAGAGCTTTCAAGAGGAAAATTTGAGATTTGGAAGAAATTGTGTCCGCCACCATGAGCTTGACCATGATAATTCAAGATTTTTATGATGAGATTGGAGGTGAGGTAAGCTAATGTGATTTTCGTTGTCTGATGTTGTCACCATTTGACTTCTGCATAACTAAATGAACCATCTGGCAAAGAACCAAGGCATGAAGTTATAAGATCATGCATGAATACAAGAGCCAGTCAAATGCAAGACAGACCAATGATTTCTAACATAACAGTTTGAAAAGTTTACTGATATGGTTACAGATTCCACACTGCAACTGACCTTTTGAGGAATTACCAGTGACTATATTTTAGTATAGAATCAAAACAGAATAGCCACAATTATCTAAAAAGGCTCATTAAATACTCCTCACTTTTCCAACTACGTATCTATAAGACTAGATTTTTTTCTTATACTTCAACAAAAAGAACATAATGCAACAGATTGAGTTCAGAAACAGATATGAGAATCCACACCTATCTATTCTATCTGTTCTATCCACATCCATCTATTCTATCAAGCCAAACATTAAGCAGATTTGTAAAATATTAAATAACATCACTCTTCTTGTAATTTAAAAAAGGTAGTTATTTTTTATAAAAATATGTTGTCTATATTAACCTATAATGGACTTACTGTTGTTATTTGAAAATCAATTTAGAAATATTTCTAAATTTTCTCTATTTTACTTTCTAGTAAAGGATATATCAATAGTTACCCCAGATAAACAAAAGCTCTTCAGTGTCTTCTATAATTTTTAAGAGTATGAAGAGCTTCTAGACCAAAAAGTAAGTTTGGAAACCACTAACTTAAGTCTTCTGACTGCCCTTGTGGACAATGGCTACAAATATTCAGAATGTGACTCTAGTATACTAAGAGCTGCCATCTGAAGATTTTTTTTTTTTTTTTGAGACAGAGTTTTGCTGTTGTTACCCAGGCTGGAGTGCAATGGCACAATCTCGGCTCACCGCAACCTCCGCCTCCTGGGTTCAGGCAATTCTGCTGCCTCAGCCTCCTGAGTAGCTGGGACTACAGGTGCGCGCCACCATGCCCAGCTAATTTTTGTATTTTTAGTAGAGACAGGGTTTCACCATGTTGACCAGGATGGTCTCGATCTCTTGACCTCATGATCCACCCACCTCGGCCTCTCAAAGTGCTGGGATTATAGGCGTGAGCCACCGCGCCCGGCCCTGAAAATTTTTTAATAGAGGAGAAAGCAGATTTAGAATTTTCAGATCCTTTTTTCTTTTAATTAAAAAAAATTAGAATAGAGTTGAGGTCTTACTATATTGCCCAGGCTGGTCTCGAACTCCTGAGCTCAATTGATCCACCTACCTCAGCCTCCCAAGGCTGGGATTACAGGCATGAGCCACCATGCCCGGCCTCAAAATTCTTAATACCATAGGTGTTTTAGTCCATTCAGGATGCTATAACAAATTACCATAAACCAAGCCTCTTATAAACAGCAGAAATTTATTTCTCAAGGTTCTGGAGACTGGGAAGTCCAAGATCAAGGTGTCAGTAGGTCTGAGTCTGATGAGGGCCTACTTTCCAGTTCATAGATGGCATCTTCTTGCCGTGTCCTCACATAGTTGAAGGGTTGAGGAGGCTTTTATACAAGGGCACTGATCCCATTCATGACAGTTCCACTCCCATGATATAATCACCTTCCAAAGACTCCACCTCCTCATATCACCACCTTGGGGTTAGGATTTGAATTTGAATTTGGGAGGGACACAACATTCAGACCATAGCACTGAGTCAAACAATTCTCCATTAACTTCCATTTAGATTATTGGCTAAGTAGTGTTTGCTGAACAAGAAGCTCCTTGTCTGAATCTCAGTTTCTCCACCTGTAAAAGGAAAGTAAAATTTCTTTCTTAATCAAGCTTTAACGTTCTTACTGTAATGAAAGCAGAAAGCAATCATGCCTTGAAATATTTCTACCACAATTTAATTATTCATCTCTAGGCTCTTGCAGTATTTCTTGTCTGCTGATATGGGTAATTATCTCTTCTAGTCAAATTAAATGTGTGGTTTTATTTTTAATTACTCCAGGGTATTAGAAGAATTAATTAGTAAGTGTTGGCCAACTACCTTGAAGATGAAAAATACTATGTAATTATCCCCATGGGAAAAATGCTTTTCAAGCACTTGGCTGAATTCACTACTTAGGTTTATGGGATTAAATGTTAACCTTAAGGACTTCTGGTGTGAATGCAGTAACATAGATTCAGCATCTTTCTTCTTTTTTAAATGCTACAAAACCAACAAAAATGGTAAACTTATCTTCAGCGAATTTAGGAGCAGGTATAATCCACAGCCTTCAAAATATGACTCAGGGCTGCTAAGAGCAGCTAAGATTAGACAGAAGCCGTATAGGAGAAGCTGGCAAAGAGCTATGAGGTTCAAGCAGCAGCAGAATCTGGAAAGTATCAGTAAACACGATTCCTAAAGTGAGGGACTCACCATGTAGTGCAAATGTGTGGTTCTTGTCAATGGATTTGGGTAAGCAGACCTGGTGGCACTGAAGTCTTCCTAGAACCGGGTTTATTTCAGAGGAGCAAAAGATACTGGCTACACGATTTAAAAGGAGGGGCCATCTGCATTGTTCTGCTAGGGCTGCCTTAACAAAAGACCACAAACTGGCTGGATCAAACAACGTATGTATTGTCTCGTAGTTCTGGCAACCAGAAGTTCCTGATCAAAGTGTCTGCCGGGTTAGTTTCTTTTGAGGGCTTAGAGGAAGATCTGTTCCTTTCTTTTGTGTAGCTTCTGGTAGTTTGCTGGCAATCTTTGGCATTTCTTAAATTGCAGAAGCATCTCTGCCTTCATCTTCACATGGTGTTCTCCGTGTGTGTGTGTGTGTCTGTACCCAAATTAACCCCTTTTATAAAGACACTAGTCATATTGGATTAGGGTCCATCCTAATGACCTCACCTTAACTTAGATACTTACATCTTCAACAATCCTATTTCCAAATTAGGTCCCATTCTGAGGTACTAGGGGTTAGTACTTCTAGAGCAATAGGACACATTTCAACTCATAACACAATCTATCCAGGAAGGACTCTGGATATATTGTAGCAAATCAATCTTTGCTACCATAGCAGAAGTGAAAGCCTTTGGACAGCAAAACTGGAAGGACTACCTTCAGCCTCCCCCACAAAGCTCAATCACTGTGTTTTAAAGTAACCTGAGTCATTCTCTTCTGTGTGGTTATGTAATCAACTGGATACACAGTGACATTTGTTTCACTTTTTCTTCAATGTTTTAGGACTGCTTATTTCATTTTGGTGTATTTATTTTTTGTAATTAGGTAAAACTTTGCTATGTTTCAAAGTCAAATCTATAAAACAAAATACAGTTAACTCTTGAACTACACAGATTTGAACTGCATGAGTCCGCTTATATGCAGATTTTCTTCTGCCTCTGCAAACCCCGGAGACAGCAAGACCAACCCCTCATCTTTTTCCTCCCCAGCCTACTCAAGATGAAGACAACAAAGATAAAGACCTTTATGATGATCCACTTTCACTTGATGAATAGTACATATATTTTCTCTTCTTTATGATTTTTTTTTCTTTTTTTTTTTGAGATAGGGTCTCACTTTGTCAGCCAGGCTGGAGTGCAGTGGTGCAATCCCAGCTCACCACAGTCTCGAACTCACAGGTTCAAGCAATCTTCTCACCTCAGGCCCTCAAGTAGCTGGAACTACAGGTGCATGCCACCACACCCAGCTAATTTGTGTATTTTTTGGAGGGAAGTGGTTTCACTGTGTTGCCCAGGCTGATCTCAAACTCCTGAGCTTAGGCAATCTACCTACCTCGGCCTATGATTTTCTTAATAACATTTTGTTTTCTCTAGCTTACTTTATTGTAAGAATGCAATATATAATACATATACAAAATCTGTGTTCATCAACTGCTTATGTTACCAGTAAGGCTCCCAGTCAACAGTAGATTATTAGTAGTTACTTATTGGGGGAATCAAATGTTATGTGCAGATTTTGACAGCTGTGGGGTCAGTTTCCCTATCCCCTGAGTTGTTCAGTGGTCAACTACACATTCAGAGACATCCGGTTTTTATATCTGTCCCCTCTACACTGTTTTCTCCTTCTCCTATAGACATTTTTTAAATTAAAAAGAATTTTAAGCCAGGTGCAGTGGTTCACACATATAATCCCAGCGTTGATGCCAAGGCAGGAGGATTGCTTGAGCCCAGGAGTTTGACACCAGCCTGGGCAACATAGCGAGACTCCGCCTCTATGAAAACAAAATAAATTAACTGGGTACAGGGATGCACGCTGAGCCCAGGAGGTCAAGGATACAATGAGCCATGATCATGCTGCTGCACTCTAGCCTGGGCAACAAAGCAAAAGCCTGTCTCAAAAAAGAAAATAAAAAAGAACTCGAAGCATTTGTGCTCTTATGTTCATATTACTCCTGTTTCTTAGATAAATAGTTGCATATAAATGTTGCATACTCAAATTTGATCCACCTTGCTTTCTTTAGTTAATGATATGTTCCAGCGATCACCCCACAGTAGTAAATATGCTCGTTCCTTTATATCGCTACATAGTAGTCCCTTGTGTGGATGCACCATAGTTGATTCAAACAGTCTCTTATTGATGGATTTTGTTTGTTTGTTGCCAGATTTTTGCTATTACAAATAACGCTAATGAATATTATCACATATGTATTTCTGTCAGTATGTCTTGGGATTCCCTCTTCTCCAATGTCACCAAGTGTTGAAAAATATGACCTCATACCTTCAGCTGGCTCTGTTCCCACCACCATTAGATCTTTGGTTTCTTTCATCCTTAGTGTTCCTGTACTGCTCAACCTGGATTCTATTCCCAGCAATTCTCTTTAGTGTGGGCCTTTGTCTTGGAAGGGATTTGGGGTTGGTTTGTTTGAGAGTTCACAGGGCTCAGGTTGCCCCAGCACTCTCCACCCTTACCCACCGTACTTATCAGCATGTACCCACAGATCGGCGCTCACAAAGCTCCTTCCAGTTTGGGCTGCTGTTCCAGGGGTGACCTGCTGACTTCCTGTGAGTATCTGTTGGTGAGTTTGGGCTCTCCAACTGGCAGGGCAATGAGCAGTCTCTCAACTTTCCTCTGCTTCCCCTGCAAGGTAACCGATATCGCCCAGGTCTTGTTGATCTCAGTGACAGGACCACTTGCTTGTATTTCGGGGTCCACAGAAATATTTTGTGCCTAGTTTTGTTGATTACATCATCAATGGGTTCTTTGGCTTTCCTCATAATGTCACTCTAAATTAGAAAAATGCCAATTAAAGCTCAATCAAAAATATATAGGAAATCTTTGTATATTCTTACACATTTTGTCAGTTTTAAACTGTGCTAACCTACCCTGTATTAGCCTGACAGACTCCATCTTGCTGAGAGCCAGACAGACTCCATCTTAAACTCTGCCTTTCCCCTCCTGCCATTTCTCCCTTGAGTGCATACCTGGGTCATGCTACTGTGCTGTGCTTAGAACTAGAGAGGCATATAACCATTGTAACCATATCCTGCTTGACAAGCCCACTTGCTATTGTGAATACCCCCTTGATTGATTGTATGGCAAGTACTGAATACCCCTCTTGGTAATCAGCAATCATGGGAACTGCTTGTGTATACCCTCCTTAGTAATCAACAATCATGGGAACCTCCTGCCTCCTAGTTACCAGCCTCCTTATCTAACTTGCTTGTTCTGCTTCTATAAATTCTGCTTCAGCTAGGCTCCCCCTTCCCTATGTTAAGCAAGATATAAAAAGTAATCAAGCCCCTTCTTCAGGGCTGAGAGATTTTTTGAGCATAAGCAGACTCTTGGTTGCCAGCAATAAAGGACTCTCAACTGGAACTCAGAGTATGGTGCTTCCCTTCCAACTTGCTTGGGAACAACAAAATTACATCAAAATTTAAAATTACTAATAAAAATTAAATTTCAAGCCATTTTTGACTTCACAGTGTGGCAAAACTCCAAAAGTTTGATACATAGGCTCTTGACAACGCTGTGCAAAACAATCACTCACATACATGGCTAGTGAGATCACGAACTGGCGCCACTTCTGTGGAAGGCAATTTTGCAAAATACAACCAATTTTAAATGTATTCACACCTCTGGACCCAGCAATACAAATTCCAGGAATTTATCCTATGGATGTACTTGAATCTATGTCAGATGATGAGATGATATATGAACACTGTCACTCACTGCAGCAGCGTTACTAGTAGCAAAAGTGTGGAGGCAATTCACATGTCCATCAGTAGGGACTGGTTTAATAAATTATTTCACATCATTTTAATGGAAAGAATGAAGAAGCTCTCTGTATAAGCAGAAACAGAAAGATCCCTAAGATGATATTATTTAAAAAGATACAGAACTATGTATACATTTCATTTTGTAAAAGCAAATGAGGTAATAAAATATAAATTCATATTTATATAGATTTGCTATATTAGGGTTCTCTAGAAGGACAGAACTAATAGGATAAATGGTAAAGGGGAGTTTATTAAGGAGTATTGACTCACACAATCACAAGGTAAGGTTCTAGAATAGGCTGTCTACAAGCTGAAGAGCAAAGAAGCCAGTCCAAGTTCCAAAGCTGAAGAACTTGGAGTCCAATGTTCTGGGGCAGGAGGCATCCAGCATGGGAGAAAGAGGTAGGCTGGAAGACTAAACTAGTCTAGTCTTTTCACGTGCTTCTGCCTGCTTTCATTCTGGCCATTCTGACAGCTTAGATGGCAGATTAGATGGTGCCTACCCAGATTGAGGGTGGGTCTGCCTTTCCCAGTCTACTGACTCAAATGCTAATATCCTTTGGCAACACCCTCACAGATACACCCAGGATCAATACTTTGCATCCTTCAGTCCAATCAATCTGACACTCAGTATTAACCATAACATTTGCATAAATATAGTCTGGAAAGAACATAAAAAACAGCCAGAAACCTGGAAGGAGATGGAACATAGGAGGCAGGGCATCTGTCAAGGGTGGGAAGGAAACTTTCCATGGACAACCTTTTACTGTGTTATGATTGTTGAGCCATGTAAATGTATTACCTAATAAAAAATGTAAAAACCTAAAGTTTCTTTCTTTTCTTTCTTTTTCTTTCTCTCTCCTTCTCTCTCTTCTTTTTTAGATGGAGCCTTGCTCCATTGCACAGGCTAGAGAGCAGTGGCAGGAGCATAGCTCACCACAGCCTCAATCGCTCAGCCTCAAGTGATCCTCTCTCTTCAGCCTCCCAAGTAGCTGGGACTACAGGTGCATCCCAGCATGACCAGCTGAGTTTTTTCTGTTTTCTGTAGACATGGGTTCTTGCCTGGTCTCAAGCTAGGGCTCAAGCGATCCTCCCACCTTGACCTCCCAAAGTGTTGGAATTACAGGCATGAGTCACCACACCCAGCCAATATAAAACATTTGGAAGATTAAAAGGAGTATAAAGGAGTATAGTCTTTTTTTTTTCTTCAACTTTTAAGTTCCTGGGTACCTGTGCAGGATGTGCAGGTTTGTTACATGGGTCAATGTGTGCCATGGTGGCTTGCTGCACAGATCAACCCATCACTTAGGTATTAAGCCCATCATGTGT